ATACCATCTTGGAACACTTCCTTTTAAACTCGCTAACAAATGTGGTACCACAAATTCACAAAAAATACGAACTAAGACATAATCCAAAATTATAGGCTAGATGGTGGGAAAGACAGCTACGTTTTCATCTTGCGGTACCTCTTTGGACCTAGAACATGATGTTCAAATGTTGTCATTTAGGCTGCAAAATTGTGAACAACTAACCAATATTTAACATGGTCCGCAGGTCTTCAGCATAAAACGGATTTCCTCCACAAAATCTTGCATGCACTACTCCGCTCCTCTCCAAGCACATCCGCACTCATAGAACCACCCCTACCTTTCATCGCGTGCTCCAAGCCCTGTGCGAAATGGGGTCGCCTGGTCCTGCATTTCTGGTCGTACCCCCAGCGTTGAGTGATGGCTAGTTGCAAAATCAAAGCTTTTTCTGCACATCCCCATTGTATGACTGACCACCGCCTCCCACAGTCAATCCAGAGTTCGCATGTGGCGGACGTACCTGCAACGTCTTCAGGTAGCATCAGCGCAAAGCTTTTGTATACGACGAGCTGGTTTCCGTAGCTGATTGCTTGTGTTCGCAACATTTCGAATCTTATCTGGAACTTTATGGAAGTGCACATGAATCTTTAGAAGGTACAAAAATGTGTCAATAATCCTGAACGCCAAAAGTTGGCGGGACGGCCTGGACGGCTTTTAAATGTTTTGAGCCTTTTCAGCCGAGCTCCACCAGAGAGCTAACAAGAACCTGCATTTAAATTGTCCATCCCCCACCCAACTGGTTCCCCGTCCCTCTCAATGTTCCGTCTTCGCTCCTTCCGATGGGCAGCTCTCGTAGCAGGAACGCGCCGGCTCGCAAGGAACGATACATTAATACCCCCTCGCAGCGAGGCCTGACCAAAGACTCCCCGCCAGCCCTCGGTTACGGCCCGGGTCAACTCAGCCCTCGGTCACGGCCCGGGTCAACTAGCACAGAGCGCAGCACTGGCCAACACCCAGCACTTCATATCTCAAGCAATCAAACGGCGCAAGCAACCATTACCGGGATTATCGCCGTTTGGTTGACAAATAACCCCAATTAATCAACTGCAGCGTCGTGCGCGTAGTTCATCTTAGTTGGATGGGGCAGCCGGCCACGAAACGGTACCGACTCCCTGTCTGTGACCGCATGCAAATGCTATCGAACAACGTGCATGATTCGAAGCATTGGTTACGCACCGGCAGTAGTTCGCTGTCGCTGCCTACGTCGGATACGATGGCTTGATTTCATCCGAGCACTGGACAGAAATCTCCCTCGAAACAATGACCCTGGGAAGTATTGCCAGCATAACAGCAGGGGAGATGTATTTCCGTTGTCATATACCACGCTTACAAGGTCTTGAGTTGGCATAACCCGTGCAGTAAAGGTCGCAGGTAGTCGCTTCATCGCAAATTGTATCCCTGATATTCACAACACGTTCACCGCCAGCATTGCAGACATGTCTCGAGCGCGCCAACATCGCAGGACGTTTGAAGTCGCACAACAACTGAAGAATGCGTTGGAGCTATACAACAAAGCAGCAGCCAGCCTTACATTTCCAGCTTAGCTCGGCATAGACCAATTCAAGGCGTGGGGTCTGGTGGGGAGGGCTGGGGCCGACGATCGACACCAAATCCTTCAGATGAGGCATTCATAATGCATATGGTACCTGCGGCTTTTGAACTGTTGAATATACAAATAAAACAAAAGACGCCAAGAATATTGACCCCTTTTCAAAGTTATCACAATTGATTGACAAGGCTCCCAGCCAAATGGGCAAAAGTACCGCCCCCCCCCTTTCCCCTTACGCTCGCATTTTTGTCTATATAGATGGCTGTTGAAAGCAAGTTAGAAGTGGGTGTGGCGTGTTTCCTTGAGAAAATCCTTGCTACGCCCCTGAGAGTCACCAAAATCTAATCGTAAACTTACTTCTGGGTACATATTTGCCTGATTTCTCAGACTTTCGCTCCCAACATCGTCATGGCTGGTTTGTTCAACTTATTCAAATAGCTCGTATTTCATGCATTTCAGTGGCTCATATTTCATGCAGCATACTGTCGGCGGCAGCCAAAGTCAATCTGATGCATGACACTGACGAGAGAATGGAACTCGTTTGATGACCCCCATGCTCGCAACAATGCGGCCTGTCTTTTCACTGGACACAGTCAGCCGCACCGTGTCTATCGCGCCGCACCGCTCCAGGCCCTGCGATCCTCCTCCGGGCGGCTGGCTGGCATCAGCCGCGCGCGCTCCGGCTCATCTGGCGCTGGCGAACAGGTGCAGAATGTTCAGCTGGATCCAGTACATGTAGCGCGAGATCCGGGTGTAGATGGTGGGCAAGCCGCCGATCTTGCAGATGGGGGGTCCATAGCTGGTCACCCCCAGCAGCGTGTAGCGGCCGTCCTCCTCGCGGTAGGTGGCCGGGCCGCCGCTGTCGCCCTGGTGGCAGCACCTTCGCCTCAGTGGCCGCTCATGGGGCAATCATGGAGGTCATGAATGGAGCGTGAAGCACCAGCACGTTGGATTGGCTTCTGCTGGGGTCGTGATTTTTGTGTGCAGGCCCCGTGACATATCACGCTCATGTGAAAACACGCACTGCACCAACTACTGGGGCGAACATGCACAGCTCTCGCGCAAACAATGCCGCTCCCTGAATCTCCTTTGGCAAAAAACGGCTAGCTTCTCCCGCTCGTTCCACTAACCACTAACATCAGTGACACCACGGCTCATATTTGTGTACTCAAATACCGTCTTCACCTTAGCTCCAAGTCTTTCTCGCACACACATCTGACCGCCCTGACCAGGACCGACGGCCGCCCCCGGCCCCTCCCCACCTGCTGTGTGTACTCACGAAACAAGCAGCGCCGGGTTTGGTGCCGATGCACACTTTCTTCTCGTCAATGGGTAAAAACTCTGGGTAGATGGTGCGTGGGTTATCGTACTTCTTCCAGAGCTCGTTGCACGGCCCCAGCGCGACCGGGCTGAGTGTGACTCCCTTGAGGACGGGCGACACCGGACCGGCCGTGCGGTTGAAGGAGATCACGCCCCAGCCGGTGATCGTGACTTCCTCGTCAGTCATCGTCCTGACCGCGTCAGGCCGTGTCAGAACGGACAGCCGGGAAGAGGGGGGGGGGGGGGGGGGGGGGGCTCCACGCGTAGTCTGCGTTTGGCATTCAGAAACCGCGCTTGCCAGTGGACGTTTGGCAGCCTGGTCCACAGGACGGACACATCGAGCATATTGTGCAGCATTTGGGTGAAACTTAAGTGGCTGTGGTCTGGCCACAAAATGCAACTGCAGTCCCCCATTAACAACTGGTGTCGGAGCATAGCGATTCAAGATGTATGGCGTACAAAGGTGCTTTGTCGTCACGTAACGTTACAGATGTGTAGCGTGTTAGAGTTTTAGAACATCATACGGGCACTCCTTGAAACTTTGAATGAACCGGTAGCTTGGGTACTGGTCGAATTGCACCATATGTACGTCCACGCTTGTAGCGGCGCGATCGGCCCTCCGACTGCACTCCCCCTGACAGAGGATAGCGCTGGGTGGCTGTCTGCCCCCGGCCGCGGGCGTGGGCTGCGCTCACCGATTGTCGGTAGGCATGCAGGCCGGCGCGATGGAGCCCGAGAAGGTGACCGGTTTGCTGAGGCGGATGAGAGCGATGTCGTTGACGTTGCGCGTCTTGTCCCACATGTGGTGCACTATAACGTCACGCACCCCCCGGAAGGCGGCCTTCGTGTCGTTCAGCCTCCGAAGGTCGTGATCGCCGACGCTCACGATGATGTGTCTCCGGACCTCCGTGAAATTGAAGCTCTTAAAACTGTCGATGGGAGCAGTGAGTCATTGGCGAGGAGGGGCTCACACGGCAGAAAACCTATCTGGCGCTATCAAGCGTACACTAATCTGGTCTGGCCAGTTGACACTCTGACAGTTCTTGAATAACTGACGCGCGCACACCCCCTCTTAAGCTGTTCCCGTCATAAGCCTGTGTCCTTATCCACCTCCCGTTATAAGATTGTCCTTCTCCAGCTGTTCCACTTCTGAGCCTGCGTTCTTCACCTCTCGTTCTAAGTCTATCCATGCTTCACCGATATTGTGGTCTAGTTCGTCAGCTGCCGCACCACCAGCGGCCTGGCGATTACCCAATCCAGTTGGTGGCATCGTCAGGCAGCTCTATTCGTCCAATGACGTGGTGCGCCGCCGCCGGTGATACCGACCCGGTGACGCAGCGTGTACTGGCCCGGTGACGCAAGGGTACTGGTGACGCAGCGTGTACTGGCCCGGTGACGCAGGGTGTACGCCCGGTGACGCAGGGTGTACTGGCCCGGTGACGCAGGTGTACGCCCGGTGACGCAGGGTGACCGACCGGTGACGCAGGTGTACTGACCGGTGACGCAGGGTGTATGACCCGGTGACGCAGGGTGTACCGACCCGGTGACGCAGGTGTACTGGCCCGGTGACGGGGTGTACGACCCGGTGACGCAGGTGTACTGCCCGGTGACGCAGGGTGTACGACCCGGTGACGCAGGGTGTACTGACCCGGTGACGCAGGGGTGCGTGTACTGACCCGGTGACGCAGGGTGTACCGACCGGTGACGCAGGGTGTACTGACCCGGTGACGCAGGGTGCCGACCCGGTGACGCAGGGTGTGTGACCGGTGACGCAGGTGCTGACCCGTGACGCAGGGTGTACTGCCCGGTGACGCAGGGTGTACTGACCGGTGACGCAGGGTGTACTGCCCGGTGACGCAGGGTGTACTGACCCGGTGACGCAGGGTGTACTGACCCGGTGACGCAGGGTGTACTGACCCGGTGACGCAGGGTGTACTGACCCGGTGACGCAGGGTGTACTGACCCGGTGACGCAGGGTGTACTGACCCGGTGACGCAGGGTGTACTGACCCGGTGACGCAGGGTGTACTGACCGGTGACGCAGGGTGTACTGACCGGTGACGCAGGGTGTACTGACCCGGTGACGCAGGGTGTACTGACCCGGTGACGCAGGGTGTACTGACCCGGTGACGCAGGGTGTACTGACCCGGTGACGCAGGGTGTACTGACCCGGTGACGCAGGGTGTACTGCCCGGTGACGCAGGGTGTACTGACCCGGTGACGCAGGGTGTACTGACCCGGTGACGCAGGGTGTACCGACCCGGTGACGCAGGGTGTACTGACCCGGTGACGCAGTGAGCCGCCGTCAGCGCGTACTCCTCGTTGATGAGCACGCCGCCACAGAAGAAGGCGATGGAGCGGGAGGGAGGAGAGGTTCTTGCGCTTCAGCAGTGCCACCTGCCACGGCCACTCATTGACGCCTGTCTCCGAGCCACCCAGGATGCGCGTCAGGGTTTTTCTGGCGGACGCGAACTTGTCCTGTATGTCTGCGGAGGTGTCATGGGCTGGGTGTCACCGCAGGTCCTGGGGCGGTATGCCACCGCCAGCTTTAGTAAATGGGGACGCTGCGCTGGCGGCTGGTGCAAGCAATCCCCGGCGAAGGGGATTGGGAAGGGGATTAGTACGTTGGTGAGCGGTTATTTTTAACTCAAATTGGTCCATTATGACTAGTTAGAATCGGAATGAATGTGCTTCTTAGATATTTCATCGGTAGGAATGTGCCTATTATCTGCCCAATGTAAGGGTAAAGTGACACGGTGATATAACACGAATCATCATGAAGGTGCACTTACACCCATGTACTGACTGCTTGGGTCGTGCGCGCCTGGGCATGCGTGCCTTTGTCGTGGATCACAGTATCGATTTTTATCTCACCGAACGATCTGAGATAGTCGTATGGGAAATTGAGCCATGGTGTGTCGACGTCCAGTACGCCGCTTGAGAAGCCGTCCGTGCCCAGATACTCCTGCTGCTCGTCCTCGCCGTTTTCCGGCCTGACCGGGTCTTCGTTAGCCTTCGGTCTGGCGTGGTTGCCGTCCACGCTGGTCATGGCAGTACGTTTGTGGCGCACCATGCCTCTATTTCGGCGCCCGCACGCTGAGCTCTGCAGCTCTGCAGAAGAGAGATTAGAAGGGAAGCGTCAAATACGTGAGACCAAAATGGCACTCCGACCGCGGGGGGGGGGGGGACACAGCAAGCAATCGTCGCTCTACTAGCGACGCGATATAGAATCCAGCGATGGCTGGTCTCTATACACCCGGGTCGTTTTCGGAGTGCTGCGTAAAAATTGAGCATCGGGACGATAGATGCGGATCGGGCTGATGGTCATCAAGCGGCTGTTGTACTTCGCTGAAGCCTTAAGATCATTAACGGCAGCGACATTTTGCGCCATTTTCCAGCACCTCTGACGGCTTTTTCCAGACGACCGTGCTCCCACACGTAACGAGGTGAACATGCATTTTTATTTGTCCACTATCCTTTGGTCACGAACCGGCCAGACAGCTGCCCTTGCAGCACAACTGATGGAATCGAGTGCAACAAAGGAATCCCTCAACCATAAACCTCACCTTATGGAGACCACTCAGAAATTATAGAGGAAAAGCTCCCCATTCTCTTCCCTCGGCATGTTACGACACTGATGATATGAAGTCTGGCACTAAGAGCCGGCGGCAGATTGGACAAAACGGAACACTTCATTCGAATCGTGCAATTATTCCAGTGCGCTTGGTGACCTTAAGTGGCATCATGGCAAACCCACATAAAGTTACGTGGTAAGCATGCGTGCAGCTATGCATTCTACCGGTAAGCAGCGTAACTTTTGCTTTAGTATTACACTCATTAGTCGTTTGCTGCCACAATCATGCGTGTGTTTGCCACGTGGACTGATTTTTCGCAAGCATATCTCAGTTATGGAAGTTCTTGGTTCATCCAGGTACTTGCAGATTGAGCAGCCAGTACAATATGGCGCATGTTCACGCGGAATGGCAGCTGTTCAGCACAGTCCTCTGCCATCGGTGTCTCTCCACCGACGTCAGTGCACACTCACGCTCGCTGACGTCAGGCACCGATGCGCAGCGGATCTGTGTGGCCCGGATGTTGAAGTGGTACGGCACGGACCCGCCTAGCACGTGGTTGATGACGAGCGGGCCGTCCTGCTCGATCACCGGGATCGTCACTGTCGGCAGTGCGTGCCGCCAGCGCGTCACAGAGTGCATACAGTGCCGACAATAAAGACCTGCCAGCACGCTACAGAGCGAATACTCTGTCAACCAGCACGCATCGGCCGGTAGGCAACACATGTAGGCGCTGTCAGCAATACGCAACGGTCGAAAAGTCACATAGCTACACCGCAAAAACTGCCGGCAGTCTGTGCCGGTAAGCACGTCACAGAGCGTATACAGTGTACATTGCTGGTGACACCCACTGGTCAGCACGTCACAGAGCGTATACAGAGGACATTGCTGGTGACACCCACTGGTCAGCACGTCACAGAGCGTATACAGAGGACATTGCTGGTGACACCCGCCGATCAGCACGTCACAGAGCGTACACAGGGAACATTGCTGGTGACACCCATCGGTCAGCACGCCACAGAGCGCATACAGAGGACATTGCCGGTGACACCCACCGGTCGGCACGTCACAGAACGTATACAGAGGACAGTGCCGGTGACAGCCACCGGTCAGCAGGTTACACGGCGTATACAGGGTACATTGCCGGCGGCACCCACCTGTCATCACGTCACAGAGCGTATACAGTGTGCATTGCGGGTGACACCCACTGGCCATTTTGCTTGGGTTGTCAACAAAGATCAAATGTGATTTTATTTTGTGCTACGCACAGCATTTGGGTGAAATTACAGCATTGTTTTGCATCCTGTGATGCAAGGGAACGCTCGACAACAATTGGCGGATAGTGTACCGGCGGTGCAGTGGTAAGCTTAGTGTCTGGTAAGCCAGGGGCAAGGCTTTTTATTTCCCGCGCTGCCTGCCCCTCCTAACCGGGTGAGAGGCAGGCGACGCCATATAGGCTCAGAAGCTGAGTGTGTGCTAAGCCCCAATCACACGGCAAAAATCGGCTTTCACGTTACTTCAGTGTCCCATAGGTACATCAGTAATACGATGCTTTGGAAAACCGTAGCATTTTCACTCACCTGAAGTTCCTTTTAGCATGCCACAGAAAGGCACAGACCTTTCAGATTTCCCGACCAAGTAAGTCAGCTGCGAATCGAGGCACTTCTTCAACACCGGTGTGCTGTAGTTTAAGAAGTCAAGCCTGCGGTAATGAGTCAGTGCATTAAACTCTTCATAGACAATTCTGGCGGAATTGGTACTTGCTTTGTGCTAATAGCACACCGATATGTAAACCCCATGCCGAAAATGGCTGAATTAGATATAACTGCACGCGGTTATGACGAACACAGCCGTATGACATTTTTCTATCCTACGGGTGAGGCATAGAGGCCGCCTTAAAATTTTACGTTACATATTTTTGGGGCCAGTTTGACTCATGCTCCTGGGGAAAAGGTTGGACCCACGCCCCATGGCTGGCAACTATGGCTGGCAATTGCTCCTCGTCAAATTCTATGAATGTTGGTGTCCTGTAAGAACTATGGCTTGCCGTTTCAACAACAAAAATGTATCGAGTGGGATCATCGGCAGGCGATTTTGAGTTCACTTTTGCTATTGTTTCAATAAAGGCATGCTGCCGAAATATCAACCCATCTATACCTCCATTCTCCTGGTTTTTATCCGGGGAATAAGGCTGTTACTACTGTCTTATCTATACCGTTGTCGGTACCAACTCCGCCACCAGATTTGTCGATACCTTTGCATATTATGCTCTCATGGGCGTCTTTAAGCGTAGGTAGCAACAAAAGCTCGTGCTGCCTGCAGATCCATACGGTATCATTGTTTCATAACGCTTCCCTCGCAGTTAATAAGCATTCGCGAAAATTGGACAGCAGCAAAAATCCAAGTTCATCGAAGTGGAGATGTGGAAGCGGAATCAGGCGCATTGAAAAAACAAGCGGGAGAGCGCAACGCGGCACAGACCCGTAACGCGTAACCAGTAACTGCAACGAGAGACACTCAACAGCTGGCACGCGCACATTCACGCGTGCGTGCGCGTACATTACCGACTGTATGCCGCACGAGATTGCGGATTACATGCTCCAACGTCGCTGAAGGAACTCGGCATACTTTGAACTTTGCATGGCACTGAAAGCTGGCGCGTGGAGATTCAGACACTCAGAAACGAACGAACGGTGCAGGGATGATGGCGGTGTAATATACCCAGCGATTTGATGTTGGTTGCAAATAACCATCATAATCATTTCTTGCATTCGTCATTCAAGTAAACTTGTCTCGATTCCCGGACTGCAACGACCGAACGCCTATGGACCATTGGGAACCCTGAACAGTCACGAAGGCATGTTGACGACCATTTTCTGACAAACTCACACGGTTGTAACAGCATCTCTTATGACCAAGGCTGGCTGTATATCGTATGAGCACCGTATTCGTGCATACAAAGCAGCCTAATAATGAGCACTTGCTCACCGCACACCGCATATATCCGGCCCGAGGGTAACTTGGTAGTTGCAGAGCAGGTTACCGACGTCATCTTCAGGAAAACTTGGATTCCTGTAGTAGGTGAGACGCTCTTTGGTTTCGATGTTGCAGCTGTGTTTAACTGGAAAATGCCGATATTCAGAAATGTATGGCAAACACATATCAAGCGTTACAGCGCACATGAAGTCAGCTAGGTCTGTGACCCCAGCCTAGGCGCGCCCGACAGACGGCCGCAGACTGCTGTCTGTGGAACGGCTGAGCGAACCTCGCCGGGCCGCCCGTACGCCCGCGAGGCCAGCCAACGGCGTCAGGACTTTTGGGTCGCGCTCGCTTCGCCTCACGTAGTAAAAGCGCGGCCGCTGACCGGCGTGGAGGGAAGTATGTTGTTTTGTGGCGAGGCACCCACTAACCACGCCGGATTCACGCGGCGAGCACACGCAGCAGACGGATCGTGGCTACTGGCGTCGGTGCAGGTGAGGGGCACGTCACGTGGCCTCTCCACTTCTCGCGGATGTTTTACATTAATCCTGTGGTGACGCAAACTATTTGACTCGGTTTGGCACACGCGCTTTTTAGACCCTCGTTGTAACACTTCTTGCGAGCATCTCGGAACGGGAAGGAACCCATGCATGAAGCCTGACTATCAGCTCATCACGTCCATATTGGCTAACACTGGCGGATTAGTTGCCCAGCTAAGGGAAAGCGAGGCGACAATTTGTCTAATTTGTGTTGAGCTACTAGCTGGCAAGAGATGCGATTCTGATGGACAATAGACCGCTGTCTGGTTAAAAAGTTCTCGCCCCGTGTGTGTTGCGACTCATGTCCTTTTTGTAGATTTATCGTGGGTCTTTTTACGCTTTCTTTGTTTCTGCGTCTGTTCGCGAACGTGCGTGCAGCAGTTTGCCTGTTTCGTGTATTAAATGTCCTCATAACGAGATGACTGATGTAATACGCAAAATAAAAAGGGGCATAACTAGGTTCCACGGCCTTAAACACATTCGTATCGGTGTATCACTAGCGGAGGTGAAAAGACAATGACCCTTCACTTTTCGCTTTAGTTTGATATCAAATTGCGGCACATGGAAAAATTGGATGGCTTCAAAAGCGGATTTTGCAACGCCTGCTATCCTTTATAACGTCCCTATGCTATTCGTCCAATTATGCGCGAAAGAATAAAGAGGGGGGGGGGGGGCAAGGCTGTGTCTAACGCCTGATCATTGCTGTCACCGTGTTGGAAGAACCACAGCTGGATGCCCTGGATGCCTTGAATATCGCTGTGTAAATATGATTGACTCAACGATGCTGAAAAAGTGCAAGGGAACGCGAACACCTACCCTCTGTGCAATGCCTGATGTACGTGTTTGAGTCATAATTTCCAGGAAACAGCCTCCAGCCCACTTCTTTTCCCAACCGCATGTTACGCCACACATAGCGTGCGCGGTCATCCGTTATGTGTAGCGAAATGCAGCCGGTCGCGTCAGGCGCTTCCCGTCATAAGACCATTCAACTCAGCACGTGGTGCGCCGCTCGAGCCGCACGCGTGCCCGCTTCTGCAGACTTTGTGTGTGCCAGCAGGACTACTCGCACCACTACCCACGCTCATTGTAACCGGTATGCCACTGGCCATGTGGGTGCAGCGTCAGTAAGGGTCTAGGTATGAAGGCAGGCGCGCTGTGCACCCCGCCAAACCGCCGAGGCATTACATCCTGGCGGGTTTGTGATGCAGGTAAGAGCACTGGTCATTCGCGGTGATTGGTGATGAGCCCCACCACAAGTCATGCACTGCACATTTTGGGCTATTTGACACCTAAACGTAGGATATGGCACTGCTTGTCTTTTTCTTCAAGCTAAAACATGGTAGAAATAATCAAAAGCTGTCAAAAGCACCTCAGCATTAGTCAAGAGCGGGAGGTCAAGCCGCCCCGGCCAGCAGGCATTGCGCTATGATCCGCCAGGGTGCGGGTGACCTGAAGGCTGCCGTGTCGGTAGGCCACCACTCACAGACGCAGCAGACGCCGCGCTCGTCGGCGCAGATGCTGCTGTAGGTGCCGCCGCGCAGGTAGCATCCAACGGCGGCGTGGCACACTCCCCGCTCGCCGTTAGGGGCCAGGCAGATGGGCTGGCTGTACAGCAAGGCCGGCGGCGGCAGCACTGTCGGAAGGAGGCGCCCGGTCAGACGGGCGGGGCGCGACCGCCGAGCAGCTGGCTGCGGTCGCAGGACAAAGGATCGCAAAAGGTCCGAGGACAGGCAGTCACCAGTTCGGGTTCGAGGCAGCGCGTTTAAAAGAGTGTGAGCTGCAGATAAGCGCGGCCTTGGACGCACCATCAGAAACCTGCTCTCAGCACACTGGTCAGCTGTACTTGCATGAGTTATGTTAAACAGGAAGTCACGTATAGCCCATCGTGATGGCTGCTAACGTAGCAGACGAGCGTGCTTGCTGTCACCGTTGTGCACCGTCGTCACACGCCGTCACCAGCACCGTCACACGCCGCCCGATGGTTGTGACTCGAAGGTCGCAATGTGAACGGCTTAGTAGTCTTACCCAGCCACATGGCGGGGAATCAAGCCGACCACCAGCTTGTCCGAATGTCCGAATGTCTGACACTGTCACGCCTGCTGCACAGTCACGGCTCCTGTCACACTTGCTGCACAGCCACGGCTCCTGTCACGCCTGCTGCACAGTCACGGCTCCTGTCACGCCTGATGTCTCCAGAGGCGCCCAGAGACTCCAGCGCCAGATGTCTCCAGAGGCGCCCTGAGACTCCAGCGCCAGATGTCTCCAGGGGCGCCCAGAGACTCCAGCGCCAGATGTCTCCAGAGGCGCCCAGAGACTCCAGCGCCAGATGTCTCCAGAGGCGCCCAGAGACTCCAGCGCCAGATGTCTCCAGAGGCGCCCAGCTCTGTTCTGCGCGCCGGCGCGCCAAACTCGTCGCGGACCTCACCTGGCAGCGGCGAGTTAAACACGCCGAGCGTGGGGACGGCAGCCTCCTGAGCGCCGGCCGGCGGCGGGCTGGGCGCCTCCTCCTGAGCGCCGGCCGGCGGCGGGCTGGGCGCCTCCTCCTGCTCCTCCGGCGGCTCGCTCGGCTGCTGGCCGCTGCCCTCCTCCTCGCTGAGCTCGTCACTGCCCCTTTCAACCGTCTCGGCGTCCAGGGTGCCCTCCATTCGTGCGTACAGCGGCGTCGTCACTGCTGCCGGGGACGTTTAGGTGCGGTGAACGTGCGGGGCTGAGAGGGGGCGTTCGGGTCAGCGTGCAGGGGTGTTGCGTGAAGCTGGCGTGAAGGAAAATCTACAGCTAACGTGGTAAGCCGATCGTGCGAACAGTCTGCGAGCAATGTCTGCGATTTGCGTCTGGGCATAGCATATATGTGGTGGCAGGGTAGGTAGATGTAAATAGATAAGTTGTACGCATTCTCTTCTAGCACTTAGCTGACGCAAGTTTCCGACCCAGGTCAAATTCGAGATCCTGCCCTTTTCAGTCCACCACTTGTCTCATATTATCGAAGTTCTGTTACCATGTGACCAAACATCCAAAACGAAAGAATGACGGACAACTTAAGGAAAGAACGATAGTTTGAACGATATCGTCAGATAAATTGACATGCATGCGGAAATGCAATGATGTCACAAAACAAAAAGCATGCGTGAACATTTCCATATCATAGATTAGTCGGACGCTATCCTTTGCCGAATAGAATCCATGATCAACTCACGAGGAATCACGAAGTCGCTTCGTGCAAGGAGTAGAAGTCATCACCAATCACCCACAGTGCGTCTACCTCAAAACATCGTACCTCATTTCTCATTAGACGCAGTTGCTGGCCCTGCGAAGAAACCACCCCTTCCTTCGCACTTCATGCACACCCCTCCGAGACCACCATTATAGCGGCAAGCGGTACCGAGTGGCTGTGGTATGGGGCCGAGTTGCACAACTGGTGCACTCTCCCGGGGGAGGGGAGGGGTGAGCTAATGCGCGGCCGGTCCAACGACCCGGGCAGAAGCGCCCGGCCTGAGCGGCACGTGACGCCGCGGCGGCCGGCCGGGCCGCCCGTCGGCTGGAGATCACGGCCAGCCACTTGGCGGCCTTGCGGCCGGCCAGCCGAACACGTCGGGCCAATATCCAGCGATGAGTGCGGGCAGACGGGCGGCGTCCCCTCTCCCCCAAGCGCACAGACGGGAGGCACCTCTCCGGTGGCGGTGTCTTCTCGCGGCGCCATAACCCGAGGTCACAGTGTCAGTAGCATCAAACGGCTTCTCATGACGGCTTCGAGATAACGATGGAGTGCCATCGCAGGGGTTGTCATGACAAGCAAGAGTCGTCACGATTTTCTTTGAGTTATACCATGCCGATCCAACCATTCGCGCGCTCGAAAAAGAGGCGCGGACGGTGATAAAAAGAACAAAGGCCAATGTCAAGGTTCATCGACACAATGCCGCTGGTGGTACCGGTTCTGCGACGCGAGAGGCCGGCAGCGCTGTCCGCCGATAACGGAGGCAAGCTGCGCATACTAGTGGTGGGTTTGCACGCAACCGTTTAGTCATCATGAGTTACACTTCTTGGCAGGTGTTTGAAGCGATGTCTCAGAGACTGACTCTGAACGGCAAATAAACCTCCGCCAGTCACTTACTGAAAGCGGTGAGGCAAATAATGTACATGTGCACATTCCCGCATATCCTCCTCGTCCCTTGGTGTGCATGAATGAGCGTGGTATGATTTAAGAATCTGTTTTCGCGCAGATGTCTCAACAGTCAATATAAGAAGATGATCGCCACCGCAGCCGGCGCGCCAACAACATATGCCGCGGTAAATGCGTGAAAGTCTCAGCGGCAGGGTCTTTCAACTCATGCCAACGAAGGAGGCATTGAGCACGGCGTTAAGTCCAGGAAGAGAAGGCAGCGGTACCGAGCGAGGCGCACGAATCGCAGCGATGATCGGTTCAAAATGACGGCTTCGATGAGCGCCGAGCGGCGAACACATTGGTCCAATGCACGGGAACTGGCAGGCAGGCCTGAACACACCGACTTCAGAGCGAATGCAAATGTTTGAACATCTGAACGGACATTTGAAGACATTGAAGCGATGCATCAACCGCATTTATTCAACCATTGCTCAGCATTCACCCGATGAAGTTTGGTGCCCATCACATGAAAGACTCCGCTGGATCCATCTGCCAGTGACTTGGCCATTACATCAGCATGGCCTGCATTGCCCATTAAATGGCAAGTAATGGAAGTTTTGCATGTATGGGTCAGAAAGTTAATTGCAACGGTATACAGCTTAACACAGGAGTGGCTTGAGATACGGGCTTCGCTACGAGCAAACACCAAAACAATGCAAGGCCGTTTATAATCCTGTCCGCTTTAGCTCCGCGGTTACCTAAAGCTTGTCTGACACCAAATAGCACAGATAAAGGCCGTTATCTGCGACATGAGCTGGTACACTTCGTCGCAGCTTACAGCATGCCAACGGGCTGAACTTGGAGGCCAGCTGCGCGGCCGTCATTTTTTCTCTTCTTGTATGCATTCAAGGGCGAATAAAGCAGCATTCCGATGGTATAACTTTCATCTGGCGTATTGTCGTCACAGCTATCCAGCGGAAAAGCATGATAACGGCAAGTGACGTCAGCCTACTGGGCCAGCTGCTCCAGCCTCGTGATTCCCAGATTCGCTGCTGTTAGTTTCTGAGCTCACAAAAACGGTCGAGTTGGCCACAAAGCGTGAAATGTCTGCCAAAGGTGAACATTTTTGCCAAAGGTGGGCAAAGGGGACGTCACTGTTGATGCCGTTCGAACATGCAACTCCCATGATAAAATACAAGGGCGGTGGGTATAGCTCTGACTCCTTAAAGCGATCGACACAATGTCATTGATCAGATGAAATCATCAGATCAGTATGCTTATGTAACGGGCTTTGTCTGCGGCGCGCTCGCCGGCTGGTCCTGATAGGGGCGCTGGTAGTCGCTACTCACTGACCCTCGACCAAACGTCACAGGTCTGTGTGTCTGTGTCCGACTTCAGGCCCCTACTCTGCTGGCAAACACCCCAGGAAGTTACCTGTAACGTCCTGGGTAGGTCCGCAATAATTAGGGACTTACAGTTGTTGATATGGGGTGCAGCTTTTTAGATGACATGGGAACTTCTCAGAATTGCAAATATTGATATAAAAAACTATGCTCTGGAGACTTGGGCGCACCACTGATTCATCATTGAGTCCATAGAGCAATGGGCACGATTGGAGTCATTGAGCGTATTCTTGTTCCACTTTTGGGACGCGAGAGGCCACGTGGCCTCGTACCGGTTGGTGCGCTTTCAATTACGCCGCTTTCGGCAGGTTTTGCTGCTGTCGCTTAACTACCAAACCTGATTAAAGCTTGATAAGCTGCTGTCAGTCAAATGAATCAGTTGCCAGCGCGAATGGCGCCTCAACGCCTGCTCGCGGCACGCTCTTCATATCGAGCACGCAGCGCGAGTGGAGATAACTGCTCCCGTTGTGCTGTGGTGTGCAGTGTGCATTCATTTCAGGCATGCGTGTCGGCAACCGCAAAGTGCATCTCAACACGTGTATTCGCATTGTGAGAGTTTTACAGCCGGCATGGAAATGCTACATGACTCCCCAATATGTGATGCACCCTAAAGAGCAGGCGTATTACGACGTGGTGGGTACTCACGTCTGGTGGCATGCCGCAGCTCTTCCATCACAGCCATGGGGAAGTTTGGCGCTTCTCCAGTTTCATCGAATGTTTTCGTCGGGACGTCGTAGCTGTAGCTGGCAGCGGCTTCCAAAATTACGGAGCTAGAAGAAAAGGAAGAACGTTGAATGCACTTGTCTACAGAGTGGTATCTTCTTTCGGAGCGTGTCCTCATTACAGCGTGTAGGGTGCGTATGCGTAGGAGCAGATATATGGCTAATCTTAAGACTCGGACCAGAAACGTGAGGAAGCCTTTTGAGCTAAGTCATCACCATTGTGGTGATAGGCCAGCGACTTTAAGTCTCCACGATATGTATGTACGCGGTGACCAGCACTGCAATGCTGTGGGGCATCACTTGAGCCGCTTAGTTCATACGCGTCATTGAGACATCCCACTGGGCGTGCGATTACCGAACTCACACTGCTGGCATTTACGGTATAAGTCTTCATGCATGATTCATTCACCCACGACTCTGTTTCTTTAGTCACAAGAAGGAAATAGATCATATTAAAAAGATATGTGATTGTCATTTATATTTATTTCTGGTTAGGTGGCCAATTTGCGGGGGGGGGGATGTTTCATCCCCAATCGTTTCCCACATTCAAGTCCATATCCCACGGTAGCATCCTCACATCCTGTTTCTTATTTCCTTCTGTTCCAAATGTCACGGAATTATGACCTAATGCATCATGCATAGCGACTTGTACCAGAATAGCCACATGGGCGCTTGTACGGTAGGTGTGTATGGAAGTAGTACAGATACAAACACGGATCAACGTGCTTCACGAATACCACGACCAACTTGCAAGCATACTTCCGCAGAGGCATGGTGCGACAGTGTGAAGCCAAATTAAGTAAACCCGGGCGCTTGGCGTATGCCAATGTCCTTAATGGATTTGTCACATCGCACTTGTGTGAAGCGCACTTAGCAAACTTACAATGGATAACGTTTGCCGAGACACGTGAGGACAGAGAGCCTTGCCCGAACAGAACCATGGGAAGTTGGGCTCTCCTGATTCAAGCAAGATCAGGAGACGGCAGACACCACTTGGGCAAGAGCGGATGATGCTGAGCCTCAGCTCAGCAGGACCGTGGGAAGCTGGATTTCCATGATCCAGGTAAAACCAGGGGACAGAGGAGCCCCACACAAGCAGGATCAGGGGGCGAAGGACCCCACCTGAGCAGGACCATGAGGAGCTGGACCTCACCTGAGCAGGGCCAGGAGACACTGGACCTCACTTGAGCAGGACCAGGAGATGCTGGGCCTCACCTGAGTAGGACCAGGAGATGCTGGGCCTCACCTGAGTAGGGCCAGGACACACCGGACCTTACCT